GCTCCCGGCGTGTGTGGTTAGGACCCGCCTGGGAGAGAGACCACGCTGAGTGCACAGCCTTCCTCTGACTGCTGCCACCCGGCACAAGACCTTCCGGCTCCGCCCAGGTCAGAGCCGACACAGTGGTTTTTGTCTCACGGCTGTGTGGTATTCCACTGTGTACACCACATAGACCGTGTTCATCCGTCGCTGGGCGTTTGGGCGGTTTCCATGTCTTGTCTACTGTACTAAGTGTTGCGCTGGCCAGGGGTGCTGACCTGAGGTGTGCCTAGATTCTTCTGAATGGATGTTCCTATGCTTTAATGATGAATGCCAAGAAGTGGTATTGCTGGGTTTGTGGAGCTTCTAGTCTTACTTATTATGTGAGAAACCTCTTCCTTTCCATGGAATGGGATGACGTCCCCACGCCCATGGGATGGGGGCCACTTCCTCACCACACCCTGCCGACACGGCTAGGCCCGAGCTCTGTGCTGTGCGCCATCCTCAGGTCACTCCACTGTTTGGATTGGCGTGGGCCCAGTATGACGCAGCACTCCGTCATGTGTCCACTGGCCAACCAGGGTCCTTCTCACACACGTCTGCTCGTCTCTCTCCCCCTTTTGGGCGGAGTTCTTGGAATTTTCTGTTGTGTTTTGGGAGTGCTCTATAATCTTAGACATTAGCTCTTTGCCTTATGAGTTATGTGAAAGCATTTCCTCCCATTCAGTAATAGGTGCTCATTTTCAACTTGATTTTTTTTTCTGTGAAGAACCCTTTTAATTTGATGTAACCCCATTTCTTTGATTTTGTTCTTCTTACTTTCGCCTCTATGGTCAGGTCATCAAAACTGCATGGTGGGGCTGGAGCAATGGCACAGCGGGTAGGGCATTTGCCTTGCACGTGGCCGACCCGGGTTCGATTCCCAGCATTCCATATGGTCCCCTGAGCACCGCCAGGGGAAATTCCTGAGTGCAGAGCCAGGAGTCACCCTGTGCATCACCGGGTGTGACCGGGAAAAAAAAGCAAAAAAAAAAAAAGCTAAGTTTCATTTCATGGAGAGTTCTGCCTTTGTTTTCTTTAATGCATTTTATGGATTCTGCTTTAATCTCCAGATCTTTAATACACTTTGAATTTGCTTTTGTGAGTGGTGTGAGACTGGTTCCAATTGTATTTCCTTTATATGCGGCTATCCAATTTCCCCCCAAAGTTTTTACCATTTGTTGGAGGAATCGTCTCTGCTCCACTGCATGTTCTTTGCTCCCTTGTTGTAGATTAACTGCCATAAATCTGGGGCGTTAACTCGGAACCCTCAGTTCTATTCCACGGGTCTGTCTGTCCTCAGCTAGTACCATGCAGTTGTTTTTCTTTTTGGGTCACACCTGGCGATGCACAGGGGTTACTCCTAGCTCTGCACTCAGGAGTTACTCCTGGTGGTGCTCAGGGGACCATATAGGATACTGGGAATTGAACCCGGGTCGGCCGCGTGCAAGGCAAATGCCCTACCCGCTGTGCTATCGCTCCAGCCCCACCATGCAGTTTTGATGATCATAGGTTTGCAGTATATTCAAAGTTGGGAAATGGAATACCTTCCATCCTTTTTTTTTCTCTCTTAGAATTAGAATTACTTTGGCTATTTGGGGAGATTTATGGTCCCATACAAATTTTAGTCGAATTTGTTCCATATCTTTGAATGAAGTACGTGGAACTGTAATGGTCACTGCATTGAATCTCTATAATTCTTTGAGCAAGACGGTCTTTTGGCAACATTGATTCTTCCACTCCAGGAACAGGGAATACCTTTCGATTTCCTAGCTTTCTATTTCTCTCATCAGCGATTTATAGTTTTCATTGCATAAGTCGTTGGCCTTCTTTAATAAGTTGATTCCTAGGTAGTTGATACTTTGGAACTATTTGGAGAGGAATCATCTTTTAGTTTCCTTTTCTAATAGTTCAGAAGCGCCACAGAGTTGTGTGTGTTCATTTGGGAACCTGCTGTCTCACTCTATTGGCTTGTTGCTCTTTTTACCCTCATGGGCATCGTTTTATGAAACTCTACCAAAGGCAACAAAGATTTTTCTTTTTTCACAACTCCTACAATAAGGAATTGTGTGCAGCGTGTTCACTAGACGGTACCTCTCCTAGAGCCCCTTGTCAGGTAATCTGGGGTGTGCTCTTCCATACAAAGTGTGGGGACCAGGCGGGAGGGAGAGTACAGCCCATGGGGTGCTTGGACTCCAGCCCCCAGCACCCGGAGTTCCCTGAGCCCTCCCAGGAGTGAGCCCTGAGCCAGAACCAGGAATAAGCCTGGAGCACTGCCAGGCACAGCCGGGCTTTGCCCATCCTCAACCCAGCATGGAGCAGAGTCAGTCCTTGGCTGGGATTTGGAGCTCAGTTAGGAAACGCGCCCACACCCAGATGTGGAGGTGACACTCCAGCACCCAGAGTGTCTCCTCTGTCTGTCCATCGGCTGTTGAAGCACAGTGCCTGCGGCGGACACAGAGTCCCGGCCCCGGGGTCTTCCCTCATGGCCTGTCTCTGTGAGCCCCCTGGGAGAGCCCCCACCTGGCAGGCTGTGGGGTCCCGGGTGCCACATCCTTCCTGTCGGGCTGGGCAGGAAGGGAAAGTGAGTGTGTCAGGCCTTTGCCCAGCGAGCCCTGGACTCACTCAGCGCTCAAATGCAGAAGTGCGGAGGCTTTCGGGGGAAGTGAGTGCCAGGGTCTGGGTGGGGGTGAGGGGCTCCCTGGGAAGGCACCGCCCCCTGCCCCCAGCAGGGCCCAGGAGCCCCGGCTCCATCAGAACAGTTGGAGAAGTAGACCCTTCATTGCAGGACCACGAGGACCCAGAAGGAGGAAGTCGCCAGTTTCCCTGCTGTCAGCCCTGAGGCAGACGCTGGGTTCTGTCAGCAGCAAGGGAAACAGGGAGGAATGGGGTCAGTGGCCGCCTGAGATGCCTCAGTGGGTCTGGCAGGCTCAGCTGGTCCATGGGCTGAGCTAGGGCTGCTTTGGGGGGACACAGAGTCGCTCAGGAATATCCCCCCTCCAGCTCCCCAGAAGGGGGCACTCCCAGGAGAGGGCGAGGCTCTTCAGGAGGGCTCTCAGCATCCAGACTCGACCCGCAGACCCTGGGCGCAGGCGGTGGCCAGCCGGGAGTACTGCACTGGCTTCCAGGGGCTTCAGGGACCCCTGGGGTTGGGGTGGGCTGAGCCTTGTGTCTGCTGTCTCCCAACACCTGCGTCTGAGCAGCTGCAGTTACTTTTCTGGCTTTTCAGCAAGGCAAAAGCTTCCTTTGCATTTCTTGCAACGAGTGAGCCCAGGATGCTGGAGGAGATGGCTAGTTCGGATTTTCCCAGAGAGGAGAGGCTGCCTGTAGAAGGCCGAGGCCTCCAGAGTGGAGGGGTCCCTGCGGAAATGAATGGCCGTGGAGGTTTTGATTAAAAGCGGGCCTAGTAACACACTAGTCTCCAAATGGGGTTACCCCTGCATGGGCCTTGTTTTTCCCACAGACTGGGTAGGAGAAGTGGCCTAGTTCCAGCTTCCGTGCTCCTCTGGAGGCTGAGGACTGCGGTGGGCACCTGCCCTGCACGCTGCTGGCCCTGTCCCCCAGCTCTGCCCAGAGCGATCCCTGAGCACAGAGCCAGGACTAAGCCCCGAGCACTGTCAGGTGTGGCCCAAACCACACACACACACACACACACACACATGCGCGCACCAAAAGCAAGTGAATCCCCCAAGGGTCTTTCAAACCTGCATCCATGATATCCCTGTGTGCCCCTCGGGGTGAGAGGGCCTGTTTCCCCTGGAGCACAGGCCCCCTCAGGGAGCACCTCAGACCCGCTCCCTCCCCTCCCAAACCTCTGTGGCTGTCGTGGCCCTGATGATCTGGCTATAAAATCCTGCTCCTGGGTGACCTGGGGGGAGCAGGGGGTTCGGAGCCTGGAGCGCTGGCTCGGGAAAGGCGAGTCAGAGGAATGAAAGGCAGAACCTGGGGAAGAAAGCGCCACTGAGGCAGGCCCTCCTCCTCCAGGGTGTCAGCTAGATCAGGAAAGGGGGGCGGGCCTGGAGACCACCCCAGGCCTCCTTGGAGACTCGCTGCCGCTGGTGCGCGTCTCAGGGCGCGCCCCGCCCAGGTCCAGAGCCAGCGCTGTCCTGCAGAGGCCCTCCTGGGGCGCCCCGGCCTTCCCCTGCCCTGCAGCACCCCCTCCTGTTCCCAGCTCCTGGGATCCTAGACGTCTCTTCCCGGGCGTGTCGCCCTACCCTCTCCCGAGGTCACCACAGCCGAGGGAAGCGTCCCTGCTGTCCCCTCGCGGCATCTGTGCAGCCCCACGGCACGTCTGTGGCGCCGCTTCTGCAGAAGCTCACGGGGGCGGACGGGGCCGGGCAGCGGAAACCTCCCTCCGCTGGGCCCAGGGTGACCCCTGCCCCCGGGGCTCCCTTCCCCCGCACCCCTGCAGCCGAGCCCTACCTCAGACCTGTGCGCCTTCGGGTCAAGGAGGGCGGGCCCCGGAGCGTGCCCGGCCTTGGCCGCGGAGTGGGAGTGCCCGCCCCAGTCCCGGTCCACCAGCCTGCGGGGCCCTGCCCGCCCTCCGCCCCCCGCGGGGTTTAAAGGCCCCGCAGGTGTCCTGCCCCGCACTCCGGGCGCAGAGCCGCGCCTCCTGCCAGCCGTCCCCTCCCGTCCAGCCGCGGACCGGGGCTCCCGGCGCGGTGCCTGCTCTGTAAGGGGCGCGCGCGGCGGGGGCGATCGCCGCGCGCGGGCAGGTGTCCAGGCGCGGGGCGCGCTGCCCGCGGGCCCGGGGGGGCGGGCGGGGGTCGCGGGGCCCGGCGGGAGCGGCCCCGGGCCTGGGTCCCGGAGGGCGACGCGGGCGGCGCGCGGGGCCGGGCGCGGGGGTGAGCCGCGGGGGGCGCGCGGGGAGGAAAGTTGCCTCGCGCGGCCGCGGGCCCGGGCGCGTCTGGGCGGCGACAGGGGCGCGCGGGCGGCGGGGGCGCGCGGGGAGGAGGCCGCGGCGGGGAGGAGGGAGGAGGCGGCGGGGAGGAGGGAGGAGGCCGCAGGCCGGAGGGAGGAGGCTGCAGGGAGGAGGAGGCGGCGGGAGCGCCGCCCGCACGGCCCGCCCAGCCTCCCGGCCCCGCGCCGCGCGAGCCCGCTTTGTGCTCCCGCAGAAGATGGGAGCCGGCTGGGGCCGGCCGCGCGCCCAGTGAGGCCCCGCCAGGTAGGACCCCCGGCCCGCGCGCGGCTCCCGCGCCCCGCGCCCCGCATCTCCGCACCCCGCATCTCCTCCGCACCCCGCACCCCGCAGCCCGCAGCCCGCCCCGCGCCCGCGCCCCCGGCCCAGGGAGCCGGAATGCGGCGCTGCCCGGCTGCCCGGCGTCCCCACCCACTGGGCTCCGCGCCGGGGTCACCCTCCCCCGGGCATCCCCGGGGCTTCCCCCCGACACCCGGCTCCGGGCGGCGCCGGGGCTCGCTCCCCCGGGGCTGCGGAGAGGCCGGGCAGGGAGGTGTGGCCGCAGCCTGGCGTCGGGACCCGCCGTGCAGATGCCGCTCGGTGGGCTGGGCCGGGCCGGGCCGGGCCGGACCGGGCCGGGCCGGGCTGCGCGTCCCGGCCCCGCGCCCGCACCTGTCCCGGGGGCCAGAACTTTGCGACCGCCGGGGCTCCGGGGCGCCCGGGGACCGGGCCGAGCTCCGCGGGGGTCTGCGCCAGGCTGGCCTTCGGGAAGGGGAGGGCGGGCTGCGGGGGACGGCCGGGCACCGAGGAAGCGGATCCGCACACACGATGCTCTGCAAAACGCCCTGTGAGTGTGTGTGTGTGTGTGTGTGTGTGTGTGTGTGTGTGTGTCTGTGCGCGCGCGCGCGCGTCCGTGTGTGCGTGTATGTGTGTGTGCCTGTGTGTGCCTGTATGTGTGCGTGTGTGCCCGCGTGTGTGCCCGTGTGTGCGCGCGTATGTGTGTGCGTGTGTGTGTGCCCGTGTCCCAGTGCGCGCGTGTGTCTGCGCGCGCGCGTGCCTGTGCAGAGCTTGCCTTGCACGCCGCGGATGAATGGCCCGGCGTGGCAGTTCGGATTTCCCTCTCCCGGCCGAGCGGCCGTGGCCGTGGCCGTGGCCGGGGAGGTGGCCGGGGAGGTGGCCGGGCTCCCCGGGGGAAGGTTCCCGTTCCCCAGCGCCGCCGCCGGGGCGCGCCGTGCCGGCCGGCCGAGAGGGGCCCGCAGCCCGCTGCGGGTGCGGCGTTGGCTCGCTCCCCCGCCAGGCAGCCACTAGTGGTTGTGAATCGAACAATACAAACTTTCTCCTGCCGGAGGTGGCGAGGGGGAGAGGGAGTCCGTGGGCGGCGTAGTGGGCGATGGCTTTGGGCAGTGACAGACGCTGACGCGACGGCCCGCGAGCGGGTGCGCCCTGCGGGAGGGAGCGCGCGCGCGGGGACCGGGCAGCGCGGCCCGGGCCGCGGCGAAGGCCAGCGACCGTCGTCGGCTCCTGCGTGCCCTCCGCCCCCTCCCCGACGCCCCTTGCCCCCCAAAACGTTTCCTCCTCCCGCGCCGCTCCTGCGGCCGGCCCGGGAGGCGGAGGACGCGCGTGGAGGCGGCGCGGGCCGGGGACGCTTCCTGGTCCTTCCGCTTTCAGATTCCCGGAGCCGCGGCCGGCTCGGGCTGTGCTCAACTTGCCGCCCCGGGAGGAAGGAGGAGGGAGAGGGAGTCCTCCCGCTCCATCTTGGGGGCCTGGCCGCGCCGGCCGGAGGCCCGTTGCACGGCTCCAATGGATTTTCTGCAGTGGGTTTCGCTGTGCAGATCCCGCCCTGGCTGGGAGGCCCCGCCAGCATCTGACAACTCCAGAGTGAGATTTCCCTGCTGGCTCGGGAAAGGACCCGGCCTTTGCCTAAAATGGCTGTGTCTTTCATTAAAAACAAATGGTTAACTCCTGGGTTTCTGAGGGAGGGGAGCCAGGGGGAGGTCACGCGTCATTCACCGCTGAGCAGTGCCGGGATGGCAAAGGATGGACTGCCAACAGCCTGGCATGTTGCGAGCTTCCCAAGGCTGGCAGGGGACAGTAACGCAGGAGAGGATTTCTGGGGCCCTGCATGCTTGCGGCTTCCACTCTCTGTGTAATCGATCCATAGGATCCTGTGTCCCCCCCCCCCCCCACACACACACACCCCAGATCAGCAGCTGGTCAGTGGCCTGCCTTTATCTATCGATCTGATCTCCCCAGGGCCTCCTGCCTACCTGTCCATCTGCCTGCCTATCTCCCTTGACGTGTTCGTGGTTCTCCCTGCGTGCTTCGGAGTTAAGATTGAGAACGAGGTGGACCCTTTGTTGACTGTCGAGGGGAGCGGGAGGACATGGCAGTTCCCTTCACTCCAAGCGCAGTTGCAAAATGAAGGTGCGGCAGAGCCAGTGTCGCCTGAGGAGTGTTTGCAGGGATCACTTTAATTGCCCTTTCCCGCGTACTATGTCTTGAAGCCAAAAAACATCCCGAGCGTTTCTGCACTTGTTAGCCAGCTATATTTAACATGTTTTTTATCGGACCAAAATAGACTTTTATTTATCTTGCAGAGTAAACACATGGTTCCTTCTCTCTAAGTGTTTAATCTGTTTCGTTAACAAAATCAGCGAGGTGGGAGCTCGGAGCTCCTGGAAGCCAGCTGAAGAGCACCTTCCCGCGTGCCGTGTCGCCCGGGTGCAAGGAGCAGCGTGTGGAAGCAGGGGACAGTGGGCTACGTGCACCGGGGCATGGCCACTGTAGAGCCTCGCGTGAACGTGTGGACAGTTTCGCGGTCACCAGAGGCTTCCCGAGCTCGGCAGCTGCCCGGCCACTCTGCTGATTTGTTATGTCCTGCCGGAGCCAAGTGTTGCCTCCTATTGCTCCAAGCCGTGGCCCAGCACGACAGTCTTCACCTCCTCTCGGGTCTCCTGCCCCGACCTCTCCCACTGGGCCCACTCTGGGCTAGCGGGTCCAGCTGCCCGGCGCTCCCATGTGACCCGGCTCTCCTGCGCCCCCCTGTGGCAGGCAGCGGCCCTGCTCTCCCGGCGCAGCTCCCTTGGCTCTCTGTCACTGGTAGTTCTAATTCTCGGTGGTGAGGCTGGCAGCTGAACCCGCTGTTTCCAATTTTTTCTCAGCATAATGGGATGTCTCTCGCCTGGAGACGTATCTGAGATGTGATGGAAGCGAGCGTTTTAGGTGTCCCTTGGGGCCTCGGGGATGGCCGCGCTCTGCACCCAGAGCTCTGAGCTCGGCGGGGGCTGGTCTCCTTCAAGAGAGTGGGCTTATTCCGCCCTTGCCCTTTCTCGCGTCCAGATGAGCCGGCCCCCTCTCCCCGTCCCTGCCCTTCCTCTGCAGTCTCTCACGTTCAGGCCGAGGTGCGTTTCCCAACCACCGGGAAACGGTGCGGGAAACGGTGCGTGCGGTGGGCGCTCCTTTTCCTGAGCTCGGAGCCCTGAGGCCCGACCACTCCTAGGGGCAGGTTTGGTCCTGAGCAGCCCCGGATGGGTGATGGAGCTGTCCCGGGCTGCAGGCCGCATTTGGAAGGCAGATAGTTGGCGGCTGCCTCCGAGGCTTTTGGGGGCGCTGCTGAGGACCCCCGGGCCCCTGTGTTCCAGGCCTCAGTGTCCCCTCCTGTGGATCTACCCAGCCAAGGGAGCTTAAAGAGAGCAAACAGGCCCGACAGAATAGGGGCAGCCAGTCGTGGTTGGATCCCAGACCCCCGCCCCCAGCACAGAGCCTGGAGAAGCCCCTGAGGACCACCTGGTGAGACCCAAATCCTAGTCCCACCCACCCCCACCTGGGGAGGGCCGAGGTAGAAGAGAGAATAGGAAGTTCGGGAGGAGGTTTCCTCCTACCCGGAGGCAAGGATTTCCAGCCAGTGGGAGGAGGACCGGGGGGAGGAGGAGGAGGAGGAGGAGGGGGAGGAAGGAAGGAAATTCCTGGCAGCTGCCCCACCGGGCAAGGGTGTGGAGGCAAGCGGGACCCTCCGCACCCCAGGCTTGGAGGCGTCTGCTCGAATGACACGATTGCAGTGAAGCCTGAACCAAAGGCCTTCTGGTGCCGGGGCAGGTCCCTGTCCTCCCACGCGGCCTGTGTCCCCCACTGCACCCGGTCCGCGGCAGCTGGAGAGGGCTCAGGGTCTGGAGCAGAGGAAGATGCCGAGGCGGGGACTGGCTGAGAGACTGGGGGCTGGGGGCATCGCGGGGGCTCCCACGCCCACAGTTGCTTCTGGGCCAGCTCAGGCAGCCGAGGTGGCCTCCTGCCTTGGCCATTCAGCCGTTGGCCTTGGTCTCCCGTCAGGGATGGCGTCTCCCTGTGCTGGGATGTCCCTGCTGGTGAGGGGCAGCCCAGGGCCGCTTCAGACGGGCAGTCCTGGCACCTGTAGTGACACAGAGCAGCGCGTCAGTGCAAGAATTCTCCTTCTGTTAAGAAATCCCTCGGTCGGCCGTGCTGCGCGCGAGGTGGCCTGCCGAGTGGGGCGGCCGGGCGGGAGCTGAGGCCAGCCGGCAGGCAGCTGGGTCCGACAGCTGCGCCCCGTGTGTGGGGTTCCTCGTGGGGCCCGAGGGGCAGCAGGCGAGGAGGGGGAGGGGCTGACGTGTGGGGGCTCCCTGCGCCCCAGCACCTCGTGTGTTCTGCTTTGCCCTTGACTTAAGGGGCCTGCCAGCGGCCCGCGGAAGGTCGGGAGGTCGGTTGCATTCACAGTGCGGCCAAGTTCAGGAGGTGGCCCTGCCCCCTGCCCCAGGCTCTGATCAGACAGTCCTGGGACCCCCCAGAGGGAGAAGGCCTGGCCCTGGCTCCTGCACTGCCGATGGGCTGGAGCCCCGGGACTGACCTGGCCGCACGTCCGACTCGGAGCCTCACCCCTGCCCCGCAGGTGCTGCCCTCACACCCTGCATGCGTGCCCCCGGGCTCCAGGTCAGTCGGGTCTCAGGTGGTGGCAGCCCCGGCCCCTCTGTGCTCTCCCACGACTGGGCCTTGCATCTCCTCCCGTGCCAGTGTCCAGTCCCACAGCGCTGCTGTAGGGGCAGAGGGAGGGGCAGAGAGAGGACCAGAAAGAGGAAAGGGAGGAGCAGGGGGAGGAGGAGGAGCAGGAGGAGGAGCGGGAGGAGGAGGAGCAGGAGGAGGAGGAAGAGGAGCAGGAGGAGGAGGAGGAAGAGAAGGAGGAGGAGGAGCAGCAGGAGAAGGAGGAGGAGCACCAGCAGGAGGAGGAGGAGGAGCAGGAAGAGGAGGAGGAGGAGCAG